GGAATACAAACAATGAAAAGTCCCCAGAAAGAAGGGTTTCAAAATGTAAGCCAGATTTCAAAACAATTAATGGAGAGACTAAAAAAGAATTGAGGAGACACAAGAAGAAACTAGGGAAGGAGCTGATATTTGAGATAACAGTAATAAAGAATACTGTGAATGAAATAAATAACAAATTGATAAGCATGGAAAGCAGAATTACCCCAAGCAGAAGAAAGAATCTCAGAGCTTGAGGACCAAAATATAGAAATAACCCAAACTCTTAAAAACACAGAAAATAAGCTAAAAAAGACAGAACAAAACCTTCAAGAGATGAGTGACTACCTCAAGAGGCCTAACCTAAGAATAATCGGACTCCCTGAGGTAGAAAGAGAAACAGAGACCACATTGGAACAAACTTTCCACGAGATCATTCAAGAAAATTTCCCTCATCTAATCAGTGATACAAAAATTCAAACACAAGAGATTCAGAGAACCCCCGCAAGACAACAAATGAGAAGACCAACTCCTAGACACATAATAATTCGCCTAAATAAAGTAGGCACAAAAGAAAAAATCCTAAAGGCAGCAAGAGAAAAAGGCCAGATCACCCACCATGGAAGACCAATCAGAATAGCAGCAGATTTATCTGCAGAAACCCTGCAGGCTAGGAGAGCTTGGAGCCCTATCTTCAAAGTCCTAAAGGATAAACAATTTCAACCAAGAATAACCTACCCAGCCAAGCTAAGCTTCATCAGTGAGGGAGAATTAAAATCTTCCCAGATATCCAATCCGTAAGAACTTATGCTGCCACCAAACCATCTCTACATGAAACACTTAAGAAAGTACTAAACACAGAAGAAAAGGAAAAAAGAACAACGTTCTTCACAAGAGTACAGGGAAAAGAATAAAATATACATGAACAAAAACCAAAAGAAAGACAAAAAAAAAAAAAAACCAAGTAGAAGAACAACAACTCTATAAGAACTCTATGATAGGGACGAGCTCTCACATTTCAATAATTAGCCTGACTGTGAATGGACTAAACACACCACTGAAAAGACATAGAATGGCAAAATGGATAAAATATCACCAGGCAACAATATACTGCCTTCAAGAGACCCATCTCATTAGAAAGGACATACACAGACTCAGAGTAGGAGGATGGGAAACAAATTTTCAGGTGAATGGAACACAAAAGAAAGGAAGAGTTGCGATCCTAATTTCAGAAAAAAAACCATTTAAGCTATCAAAAATTTAAAAAGATACAGAGGGCCACTACATAATGATAAAAGATTCACTCCATCAACAAGAAATATCTATCCTAAACATATATGCACCCAACATAGGTGCGCCAACTTTCATAAAGCAACCTCTAGGAAAACTAAAGAAAGATATTGACTCTAACACCATCATAACTGGGGACTTTAATACCCCACTCACAACCCTAGACAGATCATCAGTACAAAAAATCAGCAAGAAGATCCGGAACCTCAGTGAGACTCTGGACCAAAGAGACCT